AAAAAAAATTATGAATAATTTATAAAATTAATGTTTAAAAATTATAAAAATTAAATAATCAACTTATTTTTAATAAATTAGAAAATATAATATACCTAATTTTATTAAAATGTACATTTTTTAAATTATAATATTAAAATAATTATTAAAAAAACTGAAAAAATATATATTGCGTAACGGTTACGCGGGTGCAAGCAAAATTCATTCTTCTCTGTAGCCGGTTACACTCTGCTGGTTATTTTTGGTTGATGTATGGAAGCAAAGATGGGTATATACGTCTTTCCCTCGTAAATCATCGCAAATCCTCTCACATTTGCGAGATGAGCTGAACAGTAGAATCGCGCAAATCAGCGGATATCCATCTTACCAAATCTGTGCAAATCCATCAAAACAAACGACCTTGCTTTTGGAAATCTATTCGCAATAATTCACGTGAATAGTGTTTCCCCTCTAAACGAACACATTCTTATACAAGTGCATGAATTTAATAATTTCTTCTAAATATTTACATGATCGGTATATTGGGACTACCACTTGTGACAACCATTACCAGTGGTAAATGATTGATTTAATGCAACCAAACAAAATCCCGATGATATTCATCACGTATGTGCTGAAATAATTTGGTTATTTTCAAATATGAAAAGAACCCATCATTGACAAACATATCCCATTGAATTTGAATAGAAGGAGACAGATTAACCATTGGCTCTCCTACAGTTTTCTTGACCAAGTTTTTGTCATCAATTCTCATCAATCCTCAATTTTTAATTATAATAACTAATATATCTGCTGGCCACTCAACCCCACCTCCTACACCGCTCTCGGTGGCTGTTTTCAACTGAATAATCAACAACAGAAAATACAGGCAAATTAAAAAAACAAGGACATTTTATCCTGTAATTTATAAAAATAGAATATTTAACTTTCTATTTACATGTTTAAAATAAATCGTTACGAGTCTGGATAACTTTTAAATTAAAATCGTTGACTTTTCAATTGAAATTGTCATAAATCCGAACCACTTCTGTCAAATTTTGAAAAGATAAAGTTATAATGATTTTCAATTTGAACAAAAAGACTCGTGCTGATTTTCGATTTATAATAAACTAAGGTTTTTATAACTTATGAAGACTTCAATTGTATTAAGTTTTTTTCTGAAATTTTTAGTATTTTTTAAACATAACTAAGTGTGAAATAATTTTTAAATTTAGGTGATATTAAAAATATGAACATGCAGATTAAAAATAATGATAATGATTAAAAGTTAATATTACATGGTTGAAGATAGAATATTTTGATTAATATAATAAAAATTATAAAACGTGGATAATATAACATAATATGATAAAAAAAAACTAATAACCTAATCAACTTATTCAACAATCTCTTCCAAGATCTTCCTTCATTATACACATTCCTCTATCGGTGTCTTTTCAACCATCACAAATACTTATACAACATCCTTATTTTTCGCAAAATTAACAGAATGATGAAGATAACAACCATAATAACAAATAAGAAGACCAAGAAGAAGAGATCTTTACGTGGCACTGGAGGTCACAGATAGATGAATTCAAACATGTTTATATTTTTAACACCACTTAAGTTTAAAAGTTATTCCACACTTGATTTGTTTAAAAAATATCAAAATATTTGGAAGTCGTCGCGAGTTTTGACGTTTAAAAGTTTACAAAGAATTTATGACAATTTCATATTTCAAAAATTTTATAAAGAAATGGCTAAGACCATAACAACTTCGTTTAAGAAGGTTTCGGATTAATGATAACTTACCTTAAGTCTAAAAAAAATTAACTATTATTTTTATAAATTACGGGATAAACTATTCCATTTTTTTAAATTTGCCAAAAATGCAGAAATATAAATCATGTGCACAAGTCAAGGATAGCAGCAGTGAAAAATCGTAGCAAACTTTTCAATTTTCTCATGCAATTTTCATCATTTTTGTGGAGAAGAGGAATGAAAAATTAAGGACTAACGGGAACCACGTATTGAAGGCAAATCTTATAAGCGAAGGCCGACATCATGCGACAGGTGACAACCAATAAACGTAGAAAGTGGTCCTGTTCTAAGATCTCTAGCAGGCTTTCCATGCCGCCCCTTATGATGCCAACACCAATTATCACACGTTTTGAGTAAGTTTATTATTAATTTTTCTTATGTTCGGTCAAGCACGTTTCTGTCACTGTTATTACGACCAATCAGCGATTACTTCGTCTCATTTCAATGCCTTTCATCTCATATCATTTCTCATCACAATAATGGCTTCCTCAGATAAGGCTGCAGAAAGTGTTTCTCACATTGTAAATATCGATTCTGAAGTGAACCAGTTTTGCATATACATGTAATGTTATTCACGTTTGCCCTCTTGGCCGGTCTGTGTTTGATTCAGCAGATCAATCGTGTCAAAACTATAATTATTCTTCTTGTTAAACTGTCAAATCCTGTGTTAAAATGAAATAGATAAGCACAGTATCTAGTATCTAAAGAGGATAACGATGATTTAATATTATCTACGTGTATATAATTTGTTCATATTAATATTTATGATTATTACTGTTATTATTGATTGTGAATAATTTTGGATCAATCAGACATAAAAAATGTTAAAATGTTGTTAAGGTTTCAATGTAAATATGATCTCCTTAAATTTTGAGTTTACTGTGTTGTAAAGTGTATTTATATAATCTGTTTGTAATATGTAATCTATAGATGGAAAAATCTTTCATTTATATTCTCAACAGTTACGTGAACAGGTAAAAGAAATATAGAAAGAAAGAAAAAAATCAGCTTTTAGCTCTTTTATGTGAGAAAATATTACCTTTTCTTTTCATTAGTTTTACCTTTTTTCAGTGTTTTTCAAACAGAAAACTGGTTGGGTTTTGAAGTTTTTTAACCGACATGCACTCAATCATTGAGTTCTTCTGAAGTCTTAACACGTTTTTCTTGTACTAACTCTACAGAGAAAAGAAATTAGCTAACTTTAATGTGTTTATTTCTCTCGTTTATTTTAGATCTTTAGTCGGCCATGAATTGTAAGTAATTTTATTTTCAAACGATTTTTAATCAGTAGACAAGAAGCACGTTTAGAGTGTACAAAGTTTAGTCATATCCAATCATGTTTGAACTCAGTAGGATTGATTGATGAAACTTGAGAACACAGAAAATCACTGACAAGTGAAAGGTGAATGTTGAAATCACTGCTGCAACACGAACCTCGATCCCACTGGCAATTAAATAACAAAGAATGCGACGTAACACTCATTTTCCATTCCTTTATACAATTGTGGGGACTTTTACATGGGAAGTTGAGTGGTAAATTTGGAATACGATTCATCTCAGTCTGTTCTTTGACTGAGAACAATTTAATGTAGCTAGTCCTAAGCTTGCAGCGTTAATCTCGTAGCTATATGTCTAGTGTGATTGCTATAGACCAGAAATTGAAAATAAAAATAAAAATAAACTGTCGTTTTGTCAAGAAATAAAAGCAAGATGCCAAGCAATGAACCTATCCACCTTTCGATGTTTCCTGTGGCAAAGACTACGGAAGGTGAATGGAAGGTGTCGTAAGGAATTTAGAGCATGAGCATGCTCTTTCTTTTGGAAAAGTATTAAAGTGTATAGTAATTCACTTTGACCTGAATTCAACTCCCAAAATGGGATACAGACATACAGTGTATAGTGATAGTATATTATACACTATGCATCTTGCGTATAACAATTTGCTTTGTAATTCTTGTTTTTCCCTTGACCCTTTTAAAATCCTTCTGCATATATATGCTCACATAGTGTTTATAGTTTTAGTGGGTGAGAATAGCCATGTCTACTTCAAAGAGCGTCAGCAGTTCTAGCGAAGATGACAATGAACTTAGAAGAGGGCCCTGGACTCTTGAAGAGGATAATTTGCTCTCCCAATACATTTCTGATCACGGGGAAGGCCGATGGAACTTGCTGGCTAAACGTTCAGGTAACTTGATAACAGCATAATTAGAAGTTAAATGCATGAAAGAAACACCACCCTGCTATTTTTTATCAATTTCCTTTCCTTTATATGACACAGGATTAAAGAGAACTGGTAAAAGTTGCAGATTAAGGTGGCTAAATTATCTAAAACCAGATGTGAAACGAGGAAATTTAACCCCACAAGAGCAACTTTTAATTCTTGAACTCCACTCAAAGTGGGGAAACAGGTATCTATCTATCTTTTGCGTCTGATTCTTTGGCTTATGATTGCGGTTATGGTCATTATTTTATTGTGAAAAACTGTTCACAAATTTGTCAATGTAATCTCCCCTGCATTTGTGTTATGGTACAAAAAATCTAGTTGCGAAATTACAATCATAAATTTTTTTTAGAACTCGCCTCTAACAGTAGAAGCAAAGGAAATATTGCCACTATCAGATGCTTGTCTGCTACATTTATCTGGATTTCTATTTCTTGAATGACTGTAGGTGGTCAAAAATTGCACAGCATTTGCCCGGAAGAACAGACAATGAGATCAAGAACTATTGGAGAACAAGGATTCAGAAACAAGCCAGACATTTGAAAATTGAGACTGACAGCAGAGAATTTCAAGAGCTTGTAAGGCGTTTTTGGATGCCAAGATTGCTTCAGAAGGTAAAAGAGTCATCGTCTTCTTCGGCCATGTCGATTCAGAATCAGGCAATTCCTTTGGTTCTTGATGATGGTGTTTCTCAACAGTCAACTATTGGGACCATACCATGGCAGGGAGCTTGCGTGAGTATGAATGGAGGTAGTCCCACTTATATGGACCAACATGAGCAGAACTCAGACTCTGAACACAACAGTGGTTCATGCATCTCCTTTTCTGAGTCAGCAAATATGCCAAAAGTGGCTCATCATTTTGGACACACCATGGACCAATTCCATTCCCTAAGCAACAATGACTTTGGCACTTACTCATTTGATCCTTATCATGTAAATGACAATGCATATGAGATGGAGACCTTCAAAGCAGCAACTGCAAAGGTGGCTCAGGATGTGCAATACCCAATTGCTGACTGTCAACCGGCAGGAACCGATTGGCTAAGCAACGATTTTGCATGTACCATTTGGAACATCGATGAACTGTGGCAGTTTAGCAAGTTACAAAAATAAGATTTTTAGGGTTTCTCATTTTTGGAATAACCCAAACACTGTCTTTGATGATGTTATTGTGGATTAGCTACCAAATTAATCAATTCAGAGATGGTGATTGTTTTCTGTACATCTGTCATGTCATGAATTCCTCTGTTTAGATGATAGTGCTTTCTAATTTGTATTCATTGAGATTGAATCCCTGATTAGAGAAAGGTCAATAGTCAATAGCTAGTGAAAACAAAATAGTTAATTAACGCTAACATAGAATTCGTGAATATACAGATGTAATCACTTTTAGGAACTTTGGTGTATTTTTAGTGGAAATCATTATTACATTTAAATGAGAGATGATCCTTGATAGTGAGGATTAATCAGAGAAGAAAACAGAAAGCTTAAAATTACTACAAAAATTGTAATTCTTTTGGGAAAAAAAATGATGATCCTAGTTTTTAAAACAAATAGTGGTAAGAGTTCTTTTTGTTTGACAGAGAATGTGATTTTTTCTTTCTTGAATACTGATTTTGGAAAAGTAGCTTCATGACAATCAAATTCATATATAGGAATGTTGTCTAATACATTTTGTAAATGTTACTGTATGTTAGTCTATACTCATTACAAAAATCATTATCTATTATATTAATTATTATTTAGTTAGTTTGTATGATCGAGAATAAATTCTATTTATTAATTGGCTGGAGATGAATCGTGATGGTAATTTTAGAGAAACTGTTTGAGCTTTTTTTAAAAAAAAAAATGTAATATTTTTTATTTATATTGAATTTACGAAGTCATTTATGATTTGAAACATGGAGGAAGAATTTTCAGATTCTTTGGTTGAAAAGTTATTTTTTTTTTTTAATTTATCATGATTTTTTAGATTAACAAATAATTTCCTAAAATCTTATATTAATAAGTAATTCATTCTTGATTTTATCCCATCCAGGGTAAGTAAAAATTGATTAAATTGATTCTTATACATGTAAGATAAACTATCTAGTAAAAAAAATCTCACTGCCAATTTCATTATTTGCAAAAAATAATTGTCATAGTATCATTATATTTTAATTTGGTTAAAATAATTTAATTGGATCTGAACAAAGTAAAAAAAGGGCCAAATTAAGAATTTAAAATAGCTAGAGGATGCACGGAATTCATTTAATAATTTTTTATCTCATATTTTACTTATTAGAAATATCCGTATATACATTTTTTTTGTCAAATCTACATTGAAGACCTTAGTTTCAAACGGGGACATTAATTTACGGTTTTTGTAATGTATGTAAATTAATCAAGATGATAGAAAATTTTAAAGGTAAGTTGAAATTCAAAATTTATTATGTTGTGATAAAAGGCATCTAGCAGTCTAAGTCTATAAAAATAACAATTACAAAATTATTATGTAATATTTTAAATAAATTAATGGCAACTATTGTAAATTTAAACCATATCTCATTATTTATAATGATAGATTATTATATTGCATTTGTGACGGTTGGAAGTTTCAATACTCAATCCCCAAATTCCGTTGTTAGTGTTATGTCTTTACGGACTGTGTATTTGAGAAATGTCCAACGAAAGTGCCTTTGGTTCAGTGTCTTGAATTATCAAATATGGGATACATAAGTGTCTTGGTTGTTCTAGATAACAACAAATTTGTCATAACGGAGTTACAAAATTTTCCATTTAAGGTTATATTAACACAAGGGGCTAAGGTAAGTTGGTTTCACCCACGTGAAGCGACTTTATATATGAATTGATTTGCCTCCACTCACATATATAATATGGAAAATATTAGTTTGCTTTTGCGTCCCACTCCCACCGACTTAAATATACGTAAATGTCATTCCTCCGACAATCTCCGTAAAATAATTATTTTAAAAATAAAAAAGGTTATACTTCATATTTAATATTAATAAAAATAAATAAAATCTAAAGTTCCATGTCAAAGGTAATATATATTCAGAATAAATTAAAATATTAATATATTAAATGTATTAATCTCTAAAGTTTGATATATATATAGGCAGTCCGACGTGCTTGTTGATATCTTCCTGTCGAAGTATTCATAATCCTGATGAGACTCAAACTGATTCTGCATCTCCATTGCAATATTTGCGGACTATAGGATCTTGTCTGAATAATAAGAGTACCAATCAGTTTCTTCTGTCTATGTTGGTTGACCTTCATTCGGTTTATTGAGTAGCGTCGGTCAGAGTTGACGCCCGCCCATGAGAGTAAAATGTCCATGGAATTCATTCTATTTTATGGATGGGCCAATATGCACGCGTCTCCTTAAGCCCAACCATTGAAGAGAGCTCCCACGCGAACCTCACCAAGTTGGGGGCTGCGGCCACGATCTTCCTCCCCGCCCTTGTGAACCTTAACACACGTTGCCGCCTGGGATGTGTTGTCTTGGCTTGGCTCCTATGCAAACCTCATCGGGCTGGTTGTGCCTCTTCTTGGAATTGTAGGGCCCTCTTCCCAGGAGTTAGGTCGAGGTTGAAAGATGATCTCTCATTCTCCAAGTTAGTCAGCCTTGAAGTTATTGGAGCTTGTGCAGGTTGGCTTGTTGTTGAGTGCGTAGGGCCTCAAGTGATTTTGTATTGTTTGCTATACTATTGTATGAGCGTTTGCATTTGCTAGTGGAGGATCGTCACTTGGTTGACTTCCATCTCGTAAGAGATTTGGACAGATCTTCGGGTGGTGACTATAGGAAAGTGAGGTAAGGAAAACATTTTACCAAGATTCCACAATTGTCATCAAATGATCTTACGATAGCCAAAAGTGAATCCCTTATTGTTCATAAAGGAATCCAAATGCAAAAGTTCAGAGAGTTTGTATTTTTATGAATATGATAAGTATGAATTATTATTAAGTGAGTATTCTTTAAAAAATATTAGTTCAATATATGAATCATAAAATTATGTTATTACCTCGATTATATATTAATAAAATAATTAATAATAATATAATGATATCTTATGTAAACAATAACCTTAATATTAAGATATTGAAATATTAATTATTGTATATAATATTCTAATAAACACAAGTTTAGACTATTAAATTAGTCATCATTGTTTAACAAAAGTTAAAAAAAATGTTTTATTTTATTTTTTCTATTTTACTGTGTCATGTCTAAAATAATAAAAACTATAGATAACCAAAATGAAAATGAAAATATTAAAATTATATAAAATAAAATCCAAACTATAAAAATTATAGGAAACAAAAAATATAAAATTTGTAATAAAGCTTCGATTAAAAGTGAACACATATTTTTTTTATCATCGATACAATCTTGTTTTGCATTTCATTCTGCCATATTTTTCTTATATGTCTTTTACATCTAGCACTCTCTTTCTCTATAATTGTTTCCCTTTCTTCTTCTTTTCTTGTTAAAATAAATTTAATTTAACTTTATAAAAAATAAATAGTAAATTATGTCATATCCATATAATTGCTTATAAAGTTTGTTTCGAGATATAAATACATTATCTAATAAAGCTTAAAATTATGTCATTTCCATAACTACTATTTTTGTCAAAGAAGTTGTTCTCATTCCAACCAATAAATACTGACAATCCTTGGCTTATAGGGAGAACTCGTGTTAAATATGCGAATACTGTCAAAATTTGTGAAGAATGTGAAAACACGATTGGCCAGTTAACTATATGAGTTAGACTAAATTTGTGAAAGATGATTTTGTTGACTCCACCAACCATAAAGATGGAGATATCTATTCAAATTCCAGCCAGAAATATTCATTCAAAAGAAAATATTAAATTATTTGTAAAAACATATTTAATTTTAAAAAAATTGAATAATCATATCATATGATAATAAACTTTACGATTTTTAAGAATTTAAATACATTTAATTTAGCTTATTTGTATTTTAATATTTCATTCGAATAAAACAATTCAATTTATCAAATTTATTTATTTTTATTTAGAAAGAATATCTCAACGACCGCAAAATATCAAATCACAACTTCAACCTTTCAAGGTATTTGCAAAAACTAATCATCATATACTTTAACCTAAAGTTTAGTTACAATTTAAAAAATTAAATATTAATTGGAAAAAATTCAATGAGTAACTATAATCTGTATTAATAACTTACATTATAATTGATATTGGTAAAAAATAAACCTGACTAATTTAAACTAAAATATTATTTGATATTATAACTTAAACAATGATGTTCGATATTAATAAAATAAAGTGTCGATTTTGATACAAAAGTGTTTAAGTAACCCTACGCTGATTGTAATCACTAAATAATAATGATTAACTTTAATTTAAAAGAAACCTTTACTGATATTAATTGTAAAAGCAATGTTGAGTTACATATTGGTGTTGATCGAGTTAACAAATTCAGGGAAGAGTGGACAAATGACGCAAGAAATCCAATCTAAATTCATATTATTTTAAGATTTTTCACAAATTTAAATTCATATATGTACTTTTTTAATTTTAAAATCAATCCATTTAATTTAATTTGGATCAATTTTATATTTGAACTATCTTTTGAATCAATTTTATATTTAAACTATCTTTTGAATCTTGAAAATAAAAAATAAAGGTGTGTGTCCAAGTCAATCTACATTGAGTAAGCCGGATCAAAAGTTGTACAAGTTGCTTAGATAAAAAATCATGCTGAATTGATTTCAATCAAAAGTCTAGTTAGTCATCTTCATTCAAAAATTGAGTCAAGTAGTCCTGAGTTAATGGTTAAGCCAAATCGAATATTGAGTTGATTCGATTTAGGTCAAGGTTAAATCGAGACGATTTGGATCGAAAATTGAGCAGAGTTGATCTAAACTGAAGGTCGAGTCAAATAAACTGAACCTAGATCAACACATATCAAACTAGGTTCAATTCGAGTTAAATTAGTTTGATACATGTCTAATAGCTTAATAAACAAAATTAAATATTCAAAATGTAATTAATACAAACAAATTTAATAAATATAGATTATATATTCAATCTATATTGAATATTTATAAATTCAATTATGTCCACCATTAATATTAATATGAAATAAAATCAAAATGATAATATCTAAATTCAAAATGGATTTAGAGAAAATATAAACAAAATATAAATGAATTTAAGAAATGGTAATGTGAGATTTTTTTCCAAATTCATATTTTTTTAAATGGAATTTAAAATTCTTTAATTTAAAGTGATTAAGCTACTCTATTAATTCATAAATTCAATTACTTTTTAAAACTTTGTTTATATAAGTAACATATTTTATAATAAAGTATTTCATTTTAAAAATAAATTATATTTTAAATTTTTTTTTGTAAAATAATAGATAAATTGAGGAAATATAAAAGTCAAAAGTGAACTTAAATCTTTTAATTTACAACAACTTATACTTATAATATTTAAAGAAAAAATTACTTTCGTATAAATCATTAACTTTTAAAATAGTATCAATTAATATTAAAATAAAAAATTATGTTTAGCATTAATCAAGATAATTATTAATGTTGACAAAAAATTCTTAATTAACATTTGAGAAACTTGGCATTAATGCATATAAATCATAATCTTGAAAATGACAATTAATAAATATTTATAATAGACTTTAACTTGAATTTTTTTTATAAATATATCATTAGGTTTTTTAATATTTTAGATTTGTCAAACTGAGTTTTTATTGAGATTGCTTTTAATAAGTTTGTCTATTGAATAATTATTAGTCAGTAAATCAAAATATTAGAACTATTTAACTTGTAAATTATGCATTTTGGTTAACAAATTATATGTTTGTCCAACAAATTTGTATCATTATGCAGGTCAATTTCATTTAGTAGTGTACACCTGACCTATTTATCTAAGCTTTTAAATTATCTTTACTTGAAACATGTATACTTTTGCTTATCAAACAACTCAAACAAATGAAATAATATTAAACATATTATTCTAAACATATTTCACACATCCAATTCATCACAAATCAATATTACATAACTTGCAATTCATTATCTTATTTAGTGAAGAAAATACAATGATCTCAAATATTTTTCAGAGTTATAATTTTTACAAGATGTTATAACTATTTACACAAATATCATATTTGAGTATATTATTATGATCACAATTAAACAAAAGTTTAATTTGAGCTATTATGAATTATATGCATGTATCTTAAAATCACGTATATCTTAAAATACTAAGCTAACTAAAAAACAAAGTAAAAAATGAATTTACTATGTTTGAAATTTTGATCGATCAAAAGTGTAAATTTCTTTATCATGATTTCATTAATGGTCTTTAATCGGTAAACAAAACTATAAATTCAAAAAATTAAGAAAAGAGAAAAAGTTCTATAAAAAAAATTTAAAAGAATGATCGCTTTTATAAACTAAACTCAATTAACACTAAACTTTTCTATAAATTTTTTTATAAATAAAATAATTGAATGTTATTAAAATGAACATTACTATCAAATTATTTTTTAGGCCTTTAAAAAAAAATTAAGAATAGGAAACTGTTAAACAACCTTTATTCCTTATCTTTGAAATAAATAAATAAATTAAAAGAACTATTATAACCTTCAACTTGCTTGGAGCAGAAAAGCACAGTGAAGAGGAGGAGAAAGAAAATAAAATTTATAGATGGAAAAATATAATCAAATCTGCATGAGCTTACAAATAAACAGGCTTAAGTTGCTATGCAAATCTGCAGTCCAAAGTCATTTGACAATTTCTTTCTCTACCCCTATAACTACAGCCTACACTCCTATATACTTTTGTATTTGATCCAGTGGGATTGCAGTTGGGTTTTTTCCATCACTTGGAAACATTCTCATTCCACACATAACAAAGTTGGATTTTGATTTTATAAGATTCCTAATTTAATTTTGCATTTGTTTGGAAAAATATAGTAGTTTGTTCTCTAAAATAATGCACTAACTTTTAATTTCAAATAAAACACATGTTTTCTTTTTTAACACATTTTTATTATCAATAGTTTTCTTCTGCGTAATTATTACTTTTATATTCAAATAAAGTGCAAAAGATTTTTAAATAATACTTTATCTGTATCTCATATCTTCCTCTAACTGCACTCTCACCTTAATTTTCTCATCTAACCAACAGCTCGTACATCTCACATCTTAAAATCTGGACCACAGAAGAAAAAAAAATCTTTATTTTTTTTTCATTGGCCATTGTTATGTGGAGAGAAAGCTGCAACTTGGTGCATTTCCCATAACAATATTCAGTACTTTTTAGAACATTAATAGTAATAAACAGGGTTAGATAAATTATACAAAAATAAATTATCCTACATGGAGATAATTCTGTGACTTATTTTCATGGAAACTGAAAAGCTTGATAAGAAAAGACAGAGAATTTGAATTTGTGGAAGGAAATGGATGTGGCTTCTCTGCAGAGCTTCAATCCATCGCCACTCCTTTCCTCCTCAAACTCCGTCTCCATCCATCGCCCCGCCGTCATTCTGCCTGGCTTAGGGAACAATTCCGGTGACTACCAGAGCTTGAAGCAAACGCTGAACGACAAGTACGGCGTTTCCGCCGTGGTGGCCAAAGTGTCCAGGCTGGATTGGCTCCGCAACGCCGCCGGTCTGGTGGACCCCAATTACTGGCGTGGCAGTCTTCAACCAAGGCCAGTCCTGGATTGGTATTTGAAGAGAATAGAGGAAGCTGTTGAAGAAGCAAAGGGAACTGCAAATGGATCTGAAAATGTTTCGCTGATCGGACACTCTGCAGGAGGATGGCTTGCTCGCGTGTACATGGAAGAATTTGGAAGTTCCGACGTATCCCTGTTATTGACTCTCGGAACCCCTCATCTTCCACCTCCAAAAGGCGTGCAAGGGGTTATCGATCAAACAAGGGGTCTCCTTCACTATGTTCAAGACAACTGCTCCAAAGCTGTTTACACTCCTCAGCTGAAGTATGTATGTGTAGCAGGAAGGTTCATCAAAGGTTGTCGATTTTTCGGCAATTCAGATACTGAGCTTGCAGTTTCCTCTGTGGACAGTAATCAGACTGTGTCTGAAAGTTCTGTCAGTGGCGGCACCTCTGCACCTAATGCGACGACGTTGCGTGCTCGGTTTGTTGGGCAGGGATACAAGCAAGTTTGTGGGGAAGCAGATGTATGGGGTGATGGTGTTGTGCCGGAAATATCAGCTCATCTGGAGGGTGCGCTTAACATTTTCTTGGATGGAGTTTATCACTCACCTGTTGGTGCAGATGATGCTACCAGACCATGGTATGGTTCGCCGCAGGTGTTGGAACAATGGGTACAACATCTCCTTAACTGACTTCATCCGAGGAATGCCATTCCATTCCTAAATGTCTTTCTTCTATTTCAGACATTTAAGTTCGTTACTGTTTAATCTACCAGGAACACGTTTTCACATTATCTATTGTGTTTATGTATCTGTTGCTTCTTTTCTCCCAGTTTCACCTTATTAACGGTGTGTTTGTTAGAATGGGAATATCTGCAAAACTGAAAGAAATAGAAAAATATGACTGACTTCATAGAGTGAAATTGTTTCGAACAAGATGTGGAGAATACCCTTTTTTGGAAAAAATTTAAGAGATGAGAAGAGTTAAAAAAAAAAAACTAAATGAATGTAATATATGTCAAAATATTTTTTTTTTGAGTAAAGATATTTTAATACGTAATAAAATTTAATATTTAATTGATATTATTTTTAATTATTTTTTAAATACAAGACTTTATTTATTTTTTATTATTTTATTTTTTAATATATTATATAAATTTAAGCTGTGTCAAAATATCATATTTTTATAAAAAATGAGATGTAAAAAATGAGATGATTTTTTGAATTAAGAAAAAATAATTGAAAGTCAATAAGAATAAAACAGATATGTCTAAAATGAGATGAGGTGGGTTGGTTCCTTAATGGACTGAAAAATTCTAACCCATTCCTATAGAGGATAGTTTGATCTGCCAACATTTTCAATTTTTTATTTTAAAAATTTATTATATAATATATATATATATATATTAAAAACACATTATAAATATGATTAAATCTTAATTATTTAATTAATATCTTTAATCAAACAAGTTAATTACTACATTATATAATTATTATGTCATCGTATAATATAATAATAATAGTAAAATTTAATATATATTGTCATCCTTAAAAACAAGAGAAATTCTATAAAATTTTATATATAGAGATACACAAAATAATATCAAATGAAGATTTATTTATAATGTATATTAAGAAATGGTAAGAAAATCCGGTAGAAATAATAAGGATTGGAAAACTTATTTTTTATGTAATTTGTAAAATTATTTTGCTGAGATATTTAATAGAAACAAATAATTTATTAAAATGAATGATTAAAGCATCAAGGATATTTTAGTCAATAAACAAAGTTCTAGTGAAAGGACTTTTAATAGCAAACTGAGGTTGTAATTAATAAATATTTAAAAAATAACAAGACAGTGAGGCCCAATAATAAAACAGTTGACAATATGGACCGTCCACGTGTACATAAAATCCATCACAGTCGTTCATTCAGTCCTTATAAACAGTTTCATCTCAAACCCTAGGGTTTTCGTTCACTGCGAAATCAGCACGGACTCGCATTCTTAGTCTTAGCCGCAGATCTCTGAGGGTTTGCATCTTCTCCTGGTAAGGTACGTGTCTGGAAATCCATTTGCCTCCTTTACGTATTCTGTATATCGATTAACAGAGTCACTGAAAAGCAGAGCAAAATTTTTCTTTTTTATTTTAGTGTAATGGTTTAATCCAAATGGCTGTTTGCATTTTTACTGATTGGGGCTGGGTTTGTATCTTGAAATCTTTATGATTGGGGTTAGGTTTGTTTCTACACCTATTATGTTTTATCTAGACTTTTTATACTTTGTATGAAATTTCAAGTCATGTACAACAATTTGTAGTTTATGTGAAAGTGAACGATCCTTAATTTTGTTTAGCCACATTAAAATTTTGTTGTTTTGTATANGAACTATTTAACTTGTAAATTATGCATTTTGGTTAACAAATTATATGTTTGTCCAACAAATTTGTATCATTATGCAGGTCAATTTCATTTAGTAGTGTACACCTGACCTATTTATCTAAGCTTTTAAATTATCTTTACTTGAAACATGTATACTTTTGCTTATCAAACAACTCAAACAAATGAAATAATATTAAACATATTATTCTAAACATATTTCACACATCCAATTCATCACAAATCAATATTACATAACTTGCAATTCATTATCTTATTTAGTGAAGAAAATACAATGATCTCAAATATTTTTCAGAGTTATAATTTTTACAAGATGTTATAACTATTTACACAAATATCATATTTGAGTATATTATTATGATCACAATTAAACAAAAGTTTAATTTGAGCTATTATGAATTATATGCATGTATCTTAAAATCACGTATATCTTAAAATACTAAGCTAACTAAAAAACAAAGTAAAAAATGAATTTACTATGTTTGAAATTTTGATCGATCAAAAGTGTAAATTTCTTTATCATGATTTCATTAATGGTCTTTAATCGGTAAACAAAACTATAAATTCAAAAAATTAAGAAAAGAGAAAAAGTTCTATAAAAAAAATTTAAAAGAATGATCGCTTTTATAAACTAAACTCAATTAACACTAAACTTTTCTATAAATTTTTTTATAAATAAAATAATTGAATGTTATTAAAATGAACATTACTATCAAATTATTTTTTAGGCCTTTAAAAAAAAATTAAGAATAGGAAACTGTTAAACAACCTTTATTCCTTATCTTTGAAATAAATAAATAAATTAAAAGAACTATTATAACCTTCAACTTGCTTGGAGCAGAAAAGCAAAGTGAAGAGGAGGAGAAAGAAAATAAAATTTATAGATGGAAAAATATAATCAAATCTGCATGAGCTTACAAATAAACAGGCTTAAGTTGCTATGCAAATCTGCAGTCCAAAGTCATTTGACAATTTCTTTCTCTACCCCTATAAATACAGCCTACACTCCTATATACTTTTGTATTTGATCCAGTGGGATTGCAGTTGGGTTTTTTCCATCACTTGGAAACATTCTCATTCCACACATAACAAAGTTGGATTTTGATTTTATAAGATTCCTAATTTAATTTTGCATTTGTTTGGAAAAATATAGTAGTTTGTTCTCTAAAATAATGCACTAACTTTTAATTTCAAATAAAACACATGTTTTCTTTTTTAACACATTTTTATTATCAAT